AAAAAATTCAAATGAATATCTATCTTTTATTATTTTATACAGCGATAGTATATTGGTAAAAAATATAGGGTAAAGTGCAATAAACCCCCTTCAACTATACCCTAAGTGCAACTAACCCCCCTCAACTACACCCTAAGTGCAACTAACCCCCCTCAACTACAAAAAACCCCCCTCAACTATGGTCTTGGTGTAGTCTTAGGACAGAGAGTGTTCTTCAGGTCATTTCTAGCTACCGAAAATTTAAAAAGTCTAATTTACCCCTCCATAAAACAGTGCCACATCACAATGAGGAAAATAGAATACATGGAGGACACGTGTCAGCAGCCTATTGGCTGATGACTTTATTATTATTTTTCCTTTTCTTTTCTTTATCCTCAACTGGGTCACTTCTTAATACCCTCTCTCTCTAATTCGTCCCTGTCCAAGCTGCAAATTGAAACGCGATGAACCCCCAAATTGAAAAGGCAATGACGAAACCGGCAATTGACAGAACGGCGGGCAAGGCGGTGACGAGCTTGGCTGTGGTGGCTTGATGGAGACAGGCTGACTATGACGGCGAGGTGGAGATGGGCTGGCTGTGACGGTGAGGTGGAGATGGCCTGACTGTGACGGCGTGGCAGGTGAAGGCTCGGCTAACTCAGCCATGAACGACTCGCGGTGGCGAGCTTGGAGGGATTAAACGACGACCGAACTCACGGTGAGCAAGGAGGCTTTGGACGGTGGAGAGGATGAAGACAGCCTCGGCGGTTTCGGCTTTAGATGATGTCGGCTGTGTGGATGGCGAGTGGTGCAGCGGCGGTGATGGACCGGTGAGGGCTCAGCCTTAAGGAAGAAATGCGGCGGTGGTTGCGTTTTGCAAATCAGTTCTTTGCGATTGGGTTTGCTTGTGATTGGGGTTAAAATTTGCGATTGGGTTTGCTTGTGATTGGGGTTGAGAATCAGTTCTGTTATTGTTGAAATCGAATTTCTCATCTTCTAGATGAAAACTTGCCATGAATATGGACGGGCATGTGCACACAACCTATATATATATATAGAGAGAGAGAGAGAAAGTTTCCATTAAACAATATATATATATATATATATATATATATATATATATAGATGTATACATATATATAGGTAGATAGAGATCTACTCCACACATCGATGAGGAAGGAGGACAAAATGTTAGGGCTTGCTTGGATACTAGTTGGGTCCAAATGTATTTAAAAGGTATTATGGTCTTTTACATTCCATAAGGGCTCTATGGTCATTTTGAGAAATATGGGCTATCACATGCCAGCCATATGTTAGAAATCCATCAACCGGTTGCCGGATTGGGTGAAGTGCAACCAAACAACATACTTCAAGGGGGTTTTATGCTACTTTACAAATTTAAGGAGGTTTTTTGCTCATTAGGGTATAGTTGAGGGGGGTTTATTACAATTTACCCAAAAATATATGAAAACTCTATTTTCATTCCTTCCAACCTAGAAAAAAATTTATTTCATTCACCATTTTCACTATCCAATCTATTTAACCAAACAAAAAAAATAAGAGGCATCTCCTCCATCCATTTTTTCATCGAAAAGAATCTCCAACCTTGCAGCACCCGAGAAAATATTCGCAATGTCGTCATCATCATCAATGTATGTGGACTTTTTGGTCATGGATTTTGACAATTGCCGCCAAGTGTTTCTGGGCCACATGATTCATGTATAGGTGGGACGACAGACCTTCACGTACTGTTCATGGGCCGTGGGCTTCTTTCCTTGTCCACTTCTTGGATGGTCCAGTCTGGTGTTGTACACTGAATCAGTGAGACAATGTGGGTGGGACCCAAATTCATAAATTGGGCTAGACCATTTGAACCTCAAATTGGCCGTAATCGAATATCAATAGACTCGTGTGTTTATAGAAATGAATATATATGGCGTGTATGTATACATCACATGTATGGATGGTACAAAGCTGTATTTGACATGTTATTGTGCAATGTACTAGCAAACAAGAGATGTTTAACTTCTTCTCAATCAATGCACTGTAACATAATGGGGATATCTAAAAGGAATTTACTGTAGGTTCCAATAAGCATTTCGAATTTATCAATATCAGGCCTTTTACTTTTTAAAAGGAAATAAGGGGTCGAGCATCCTATTTTGACACTGTGATGGTTGTAACGCCTCATTCATACGTCAAATAACACGTGTCTCATAATCACTCATCTCATTCAAGAAATGAGGACTCAAAATGAAATTAATCACCATAAAGTTGGACAATAACCAAGCATTATTGAATGAGGCTTAGTGATATCTCATCTATCTTTCAAAATGGATGGTGAGCATTCAAATATTCAAAGGAGCAAAGTGGGTGTGCGAAAAAAAAATAAATAAATAAATAAATAAAAATTATTATTATTGACACAAATAAATGGTGTTGATTGCTAAAGATAAATAGAAGCCCAAAAATTTCATGAAACTGGACAAACTTGGAATTGGTATGGATTAGGCCTACTTAAAGCACACCCAATAACAAGAGGCTTAGCCCAATTCAAGTCATACTTAATTCGGTTGCTATGGAATTCAGGGAATGCCGTACAGATGGAGTGAGTGGGATGTGTACCCCCCACCATATAATGGTAGGATGTCACGTGGTGGGTTCACATCACACTCGCATAACTTTTTTTTTTTTTTTTTTTTGGACATCTTTGGATTCTATTATATTCTAGGGCCAATTGCACTAACACTTTTTATGAAAATCTTTTGATTCTATTATATTCTACCGACACTCTTTGAAGTAACGGTAATATAACAAATGGATCAGTGGCCTAGCGATACTAGATTATTATCTTCCAACGGAAAGTTAAAGGTTCGAGTCTCGATGGAGACAAGTGTGTGTGACTACTAGAAGAAGAAGAAAAAAAAAAAAAAAACCCTTAAATGCCATTTCACAAGTCAATAATTACTTTTTAATTTTGAAATGACCTTAATAATGCCCTTCCTAACTAATTTTAATACCAAATTGAACCATTATTTGGGCAATTGCATTAATTCACATTTCTATCTTAATACTAATTTACGCCACCACAACAAAACTGCCACCGCCACTACACCATACATAACAATCACCGCCACCCAAGCCACACCGAAAAAAATAAAATTGAAACACCAAAATAACCTAGACATCACCATAACCATAACAACTACAACTACACCCAGACAACTCTACCACAAGCACCACCACAATAATAGGAAAAAAAAAATTGAAAACAACCATGGCAACCCTAGACACCACCAAAACAAAAATAAATAAATAAATAAACCCAACACCATCACGCCACCACGTTTTACTCCAAATTCTGGGGAGTTGCCCTAACCGCCCCTCTCAATTGGGTTTCCCGCCCAACCCATATGAATTTGTCGAAGCAACAATAAAGTAAAGATACAAAAGAGCTATGCTCGAGTATAACATTTCAGTATTGGATCGGTCTCTCCGATGACACTCATGTGAAGAAGCCTCACACATCCACCGCAAATGTGCTCACCTGGTCAGGAAATCCCACCACCGGCTCTGCTACTTTATGGTGCTCGCTCCACGTCCCATTCAAACCATATGAGTTCATCTCCGCCTAAATATGAACAAATTTTCGTCAATTTTAGGGGTGTCTACATACTTGGCATCACCGGCTGTGATCTCGGCACCATGTAATTATGACTTTTTATTGATAAGAAGCAAGTGGTAATATTGGAGCAAAAGATGATTCATTTGGACCAATTTGGGTGATGCCAGTGCAATGATCGGATGGAAGTGAGAGGAAAAAAGAGATGGAGTGGTTGCAGACATATCAGAAGCGTGTGGAATGGTAGTTTTGTCAATTAAAAAGGGTGATATTTTATGAATTAATTAAATTAAAAAATTAATGGCAAATATGACATTTGAAACGTCATAGACTTGTCATGTCGAAAAAAACCTCTTAATGGCATTGACCAATACCTTAAGAGGTGTCCGTGCAATTAACTCTACATTCTATTGCAATTAACATAATGGGGGAGATAATACCCAACAAGATGAAAGTTGCAGTTAGGCCATGCAAATAAATCAGAGTTGGCGTGATATATGGAGGATCAAGCCCTCGAGTCCTCCATGAAAAAAAAAATCCGGTTAAGCATAATCTAAAGCGTAGAGGTAACCCACAAAGTCCTGGTGATGGGAGTGTCAGCTCGTCTTGGAACCCGCCTGAAACTGATGGTTGATGATGCATACGAGTTAGTGAGAAAAGAATCTGGTGGGGGGTTTTGTATTGCATGATGCAGATAATAATATGATCAGAATCGCCTCAATCTTCTTGCACTCTATTTCTTCTCATGATAAAGAGAAGCTTTCTCACTTTTAGACAGATGAGGACACTCACAAGCCCGGTGGTCTCAGAGGAGTCTATGAAAGTGATTGTTGAAGATATCTCTTGTTATAAGTCTCTGAAACCTGGTTTCTTTTTGAACTAGGTTCCAAGATCTTGCAATCAGGTGGCTCATGTAGTGAGCAAGGATGCTATCTTTGGATTGGGTTTCTCTCCCGTTCTCTGTTTGCTCTGCCCTCTTTGCTTTCTGTTTTGTTTTCTTATGCAACAAAAATTACTTGACATGGTAATTATTTTTGAACAAAAAAATCTAAACTTTAACGAAGAAAATTAAAATTTACAAACCCCTTAAGGTGCCATTAACATTCATCTAATTTACCATTTATCAATTATTACTTTAGTTTTAATTTTACCAAAAACTTGTTAGATCTTCACGGTCATCATTTTCATAAAAGATAAAAAAATATTTTAAAAGTTTTTAATAAGAAAGAAGAGACAAAATGCAGCTCTCTCTCTCTCTCACACACACACATGCACACAATAAATATAGCAACCTCCGCCTAAAACCTCTCTTCTCCACAGCATCCCAGCTCTCTCTCTCTCTCTCAATAAATATAGCAAGCTTCTCCTAAAACCCTTCCCCTCCACAGCATTCCAGTTCTCTCTCTCTAGACATAACAACACACTCCTAAAACTTCTCCCCTCCACAACACCCCAACCACTCCAACTTCATTTTGTTCATACTTAGCATTTGTTTCACATCCAAAAATCTGCTTCCTCTCCTCTACAACATCCTGTGTGAGGAAGCAAGCCCTTCTCCCCGGGAGCACCTCTTTCTCTCTCCCTCCCTAACCATGGATTTCCCTTTAATTTTCATTCTATTCCTTTTATCTCTCTCATATGTTGCTCGTTCCCAGGCACCAGTCGGTCCACAAGCCCCGGCACCGGTATTAGGTCCACAAGGCCCGGTCGTGCCCGGTACACCGGCAGTCGCGCCGGTTGCGCCTGGTTCACCAGCCCTGCTCTCCCTTGATTACTATGCAAAAACATGTCCTAAGTTCGAACAAATAGTAACTGAACAAATCACCACCAAGCAAAGCACCAACCCTTCCACCGCCGCAGCCATCCTCCGCGTGTTCTTCCACGACTGCATTGTCGATGGGTGTGATGCCTCCATCCTAGTTGGTTCTACTCACACCAACAAGGCCGAGAGAGACGCTGAAATGAACGAGTCCCTTGCTGGGGATGCTTTCGACATAGTCACCCGCATCAAGACCGCTCTTGAACTCGCATGCCCCGGGATTGTCTCCTGTGCTGATATCCTCGCAATGGCAACTCGTAACCTCGTCAAGATGGTCGGTGGTCCATTCTACAACGTCCTATTAGGTCGAAAGGACAGCCTCGTGTCGGAAGCTTCACGTGTCGAACCAAACCTATCTAAGGCAAACCATTCCATGGATGAAATGATCAAGAGATTCGGTGGCAAGGGCTTCAGCGTCGAAGAAATGGTGACACTAGTAGGTGGTGGACACACCATCGGCTTCGCCCACTGTAAGGAATTCAGCAACAGGATCTTTAACTTCAGCCAGACGTCGGAAGTTGACCCGGGCCTCAACCGTAACTTCGCTGACCAGTTAAGAAACACTTGCCGTGGGTACGAGAAAAATCCAGCCATGTGCGCTTTCCTCGACCCTATGTCACCGAGCACGTTCGATAACAATATCTTCAAGAACTTGCTTAAAGGCGGAGGGGTTCTAGCTTCAGACCACTTGCTTTTTACCGATCCAAGGACAAAGCCGCTGGTGGAACGATACGCTGCCGACCAGCATGCATTCTTCCAAGCATTTACCAAGGCAATTGAGAAGGTTAGTCTCTTGGGAGTGAAGACTGGTAATGATGGAGAGGTGAGGCACAGATGTGATAAGTTCAATAGCAAATAAGACACTGAATGTAATACGGTTTCAAAGACCATGGATATGGATATGGATATGGATATGTTAGGAGAGAGAGAGAACTTTAATTTTGTAATATTTGTTTTCAATCTTCTGGTGGAGAGATGATTCCACTGAGTTATTCATCTAAGGATGTTGATTTATTTATCATGGTCATGAAATAATGCATGAATATATTCCTATTATAGTTATTATTATTGTTATATACGTGTATATATATAGCTGAGTAAAACCGTTCAAATTTGAGTTCTGTCAATTTTTTACTCCTATATGACTTTAAAATGTTTAAACATTGACCTATGGAATTAAGGGTGAGTAGAAGAATTGAATGGATAAAAATAAAAAACATTTGAATGTTTTTTAATCTTTTCTAAGACAACCATAAACCAACACTATATTTCTAACATTACCATAGGAACAAAATGAACTTGGCCTTCTCTTGCAACCTCTCAATCTGCAACAATCACCACCTTCTGCTTTCTCTGCCCAACCTATTCTTATAGTGTTAACTTGTGCACACAACCACCGGTTTTGCTGCCTTAAACATCTTTCCAACTTCCACAGTCCTCCATAATCTCCTTACGCACCCAATACACTACATGATGCATCATTTATTCAATAATTAATCTATTTTTTAGTTTTATATCCCTCTCTCATTTTAAATATAGCGTATCTGAATACAGAAATTATGAGCAGAAAGATCTTAGACTACCTAAATATACTAATGTCTCAAAATTGTCCCAAATCTGAATCTATTCATCTCCAAATTGACCAGAAACTTGAAAATGGCATGTAGGGTAAACAGAGAGTTATACATCTCGACTTTCTTTTAAACAGTTTCATGGAGTTGCATTCTTTCCTTCCCTAGCCTCTCCCTTCCATGGGCATTTTGATTACCCCCATAGCCTAAGAATCCCAAACTTCTAGAGTTAAAAGTGACACTCAAACTTATTCTGAATTGCACTATTGTCTCGAACTCTTCTTCTCAACAGTTTTCTCCACCATAGACATAACTGTATCCAGGGAACTTACACTATGTCCTTCACATCGAGATCTATCATAAAGTCCAAGACCCTAAGCCTTTTTCCCCTCAATTTAGATGCTGCAATACAAGCCATCATCACCGGGATTTCTAGCTGAAAGGTCATATGCAGCAATGTCATGGCATACTGAATCATTTCCCATGTATCTCGGATCATGTTAAGTTTAGGATATAACCTACTATGTTTTGCCTTCCATTTATAGGAAACTCACAGGCCTCATCGATACAATTTACACCAAAAAGCATTATCATAATATTGTAAACAGCATACAAGTAACAAAAGAATCTTATGAAGAAATGAGGGTGGAAAAAATCCAACAGGTTTGGAACTATTCCACAATTACCATAGTATGAATTAAACTTTCCACAACAAGTATATCTATGGTAATAGAACATCCTCAGTTAATGTCATAGATACAGTTAGGTATTTTAAAATGTAGAAAATTGGTTATCAAAAAGAATAGCCATGAAAAGAAAAGAGAAGAAATTAAGGTTATACTAAAGGTCAAATGCAGGCAGCAATGCTGGCCAGACGGATGGCACCAACTTTGAACATACGTTTTCAACTGTACTTGCTGGAAAGTTTTACATTCTACATCTTCTAAATAATCCAGTGGGCGCCTACATATTGCTATCAAAAAACCTAAATCCACTAGTTGGGGTACATTCACTTTTACAAGACACAAAACTGTAAACCTCAGAACTAGGAACAAAGGAATTCAGAAGCGGATACTAAGACAAGCTTATTTTCTTGCGAGGGTCATTAGTGAGATATGAGCATATCTTTTAGCCTATTCATACAAAATATTTAGCACCCAAAAAGACAAATTTATGGGTAAATGGTTCTACTTTTGAATAAGCTAACAAAGCTAATGCAGCGGCCATGTGTTCTAGTCGGCTCATTTAACCACATATTTTGAAACTACTGAAATCAGAAACAATTAATGTACCCTGTTATTCCATGACTATTTCCAGCAACAGCTTTCACTCACTTAATCAACCCAATTTTTGTTATCTTCCTGCTAACCTAAAGCATATTTTTTTTTGCAGGCAAGACCAAATTTTACAATGTCCTAAAATGTGGAATCATACAAAATATCTTTGGGATAAATGCATAATGGTGAGATATCGGTTGGTCATAATTGACTGATTTTCATTTAGAGGTGGTTCATATACATCAGAAAACCCAAAATCGCATACTTATCCACCAGAGAGCTTTCTCCCATTATCTGTACAATTTCAAAACGCAATGGGATCTAAAAAAGCCATGGCAAACCAGAAAGAAGAAATAAAAATCAGAGTTAAACTTTAAAAAGGCAGTCAGATAGAATCTGAATCAAAATTTTGATTATTGCATTCCAACTTGGAATTTTTGCAGTAATTTAGCAGAGGGCAAGAGTTATCACGAGATTCCTTTTTTGGTTGGTTACCTCCTTTCTTGGTGCATTTCTGACAGAGCTTACCATGTGTGAATAAAAGACAGTTCAGGTCAAATTTTAGTTCATTCGGGATCCGCCTGTTGAGATGTAAGTACGTCTTTTTTGTGTCCGCCGCTGCAGGTACCCAACCAACAGCTTTTGCAATCTGAAACACCTGTATAGATTCTTTACTATTAAATACTTCCACCATGTAAAAGCTGTTTAAAGGATATTATACTTACATGTGTGTCCACTGGGAAATCATCTTGCTGAAGATGGAACATCAAGACACAAGCCACCTGCCATCCATTTTTAAATATCAACAACAAAGGCAGTGGATATTTCAACTCAAAAAATTATAAATCCAAATTCAATCATTTTGGCTACACAAATATATTGCAAATGCGGCTAAAATTTTATTTTGAGAGCATGGATGATGACACACTTTTTCTTCCTATTAGATATGACTTTTACAACAATTCTACACAAGTTTAGGTAGACCTTAGGTTACAACCCTACTGTGCAGTTTCCACAGCATTTAGGGTTGATAATATCTAGTATAAAAAATTGCAACTTATTAAATGTTTAATGAACCAGAATGACAACACATATTTATCACTAGATGTTAGTAATTCTATTGATTTTCATGCCGCATTGCATAGAAAAACATGTAAGATTTGCCCCCAACAACGAGAAGTGAAGGAAAAGCCTAGACACACACGGCATAAGCTTATTGATCTTCAATTTTTGTGTAAAAAAAAATATATGTACTCAGTAAATAATCTACAAACATAATTTAGGAAAAAAAATAATTTACAAACATATAGACACGTTAAAAGTATTCACTAATAGTTCTGTGATTCATAAATGTTAAAAAAGCAAAAGTGGGGATAAGCCTTTTGGCATTGCTCCGAAATGTCTTTCAAGGTACTCCAATTTTTACTATATTCACATGTAGTACACCAAAAAAATATCACAGGCTTTTGCAGGTAACAGGTGAATGAAGACAAAATCTCCATCATAAGGGGTGTCAAGAATCAAAAGTAGTTTGCAAGTTCAAAGATGCTCTCTTTTGGATATGATTCTTACTAACAGTTACATTCATGATATAAAAATAATTTATTTATCAGAGCGAAGGGAGGGGGGGTTACATAAAATAACACCGTCTTGTGGTTGTTGTTTATAACTTTATATACTCATGTAGAATCTACCTCCATTACATTTACAGGGCTGTCAATCAGAAGTTGTTAAGGAAAAAACTACTTGCCACAATTCCATAAGTGTGATCAATGTAAGCATCCACCATTAGGCTATTAAACTTTAAAAATTCAAAAGAATTTTGGAATATCGTGCCATTGTTTGTTCGCATGTGGATCATAATTGAGGCCTCAAGAAGGTGTCATCCAAATCACACTAGGTAGCAAGTCTTTAATATGGCCAATAGAAACCTAAGAGCTCAGTTATCCACAAGGGGCCATTCTTGAGAATGTTGATGGAGTGTTGTTTTTGGAGTAATGTGTAACCATAAAATTCCAGCTCGGCTTGAGGTAAGTGCTGCTAGACAGATATCAGACCAAGTATGTTGTATGGTATAGAATGTAGGGTAGGTAAGAAATGCATCTAGAAAATGTGTAAAGCTGAAAGAGGAAGATTTGATAGGTGGTAACATAACAAGAATAGATAGAATAAGAAATAAAATCTATTTGTGAGAAATTAGAAACTGTAAGAAACAAAGATAAAGTGAGATAATATCGTCTGAAGTAGTTTGGCCATGTGCTTGTAGGCCAACTAATGCATTCGTACAGAGATATAACTTGATCCAAGTTGATGCTGCCAAAAAGAAGAGAGAGGCTATAAAAATGTGGGTTGAGGCTGTGAGAAAAGGCATGAGTCCATGACTGCCCGAATTAATGAGCATTTGATTTACAAGGATGGACTGGAGATGGAGTTTCCATGTAAGAAACCTCAAGTCGTCGGGATCAAAGTTAATTGAGTTCAGCATGGTCTTGAAGACTTGAATACGCATTATTAAACATTTTAGAGATATCAACAAATGCTAATATATTGGTCACTTATTAGGCAAATACTTTCACAAGCTCACCTTGGAAGGCAGGAACTTCCCCTGCCAGCTTTGGAGACCTGTTTTTCTTTAATGAACAAGTGCATGAAACAATAACCAATTCAACCTTCTACGCTTGTTCGAATCAGATAGAACTCGACAATACTGGCAGTTTTATAAGGGTATGCAGCCAAAGTGGTTAGAAGTTCCACATCAAGGGTGGCTAGAGTAAGTATCTCTTAGAGATTGCGTTCTGAAACACTTTCATTTCCCCCTTTACAGAGAGAAAATGATTAATTATTTAAACCCTGTAAAACTATCAACCACAAATCTGGTAAGTTGTATGTGAATCAGTCACCGTCTCATCACCTTCAAAGGAAAAATTTGTAGTGAAAACTCACATCCCAGACTATCATCTTCTATTAAAGATAACTGATAAAATTAGTGTAAATGCAAATGACTGAACAAAACCTTAGTCTCTCTATCTTTGTATGGCATGTACAAGCGAACGAAGGTCAGGAAGTGCTGCCATAAAACCTTAACAATAAAAATCAGAATTTTGGGTTCACGTATTCTTGCAACCAGCAACCTATTTATCAGAAAACATAGCATGAACATCCGGCCTAATCTTCCTTATCTTTAGTTTCTGAGACAAGATAGTCTTACCAGTTTTTTAGAACAATAATACAATTCCACCAATTTTCGATTTATGAAGACACGTGACCCTGTCAGATTTATCAAGGAAAAAAAAAAAGGGGACCCTTCAAGAGCTGAGTTGGGAATTTGGGTCCCCCTTAACGCCAATGAGTTAATGTTTCTTATGAGTAATGCATATGCTCCTTTGAGCAGGTGGAACATCATGATGAACAACAATCTAGAATCAAACAAGAATAACCCACTAAAATTAGCATTGATATATAGCCTAATCAAAATACCACAATCTCAACACTTTCCTGCGTTATCTAATACAACAGATCAAAACATTCCAATCTTTAACTTCCAGAAAAATAAAATTTAAAAACATTCTAAACTTTTCTCAATAAAGGTTATCAATCCATGTATAGGTGAACAGAAAGAGGAACTATAGAGGAATTACCGTTTTGGGCCCAATTCCTTTGAACTGATAGAGCTCAACCTTTATTTCATCAATGGATAAATCTCTCAAGTACTCCAAGCATAGTTTGCCTTTCTTCTCAAGCAAGCAACTCAACATATTCTTAATACAAGAGGCCTTAGTTGGGGCTAATCCTCCACATCTTATTGCATTCTCTATACATTTTGATTCAGCAGCAAGAACCTTGACCAGAAACAAAAGCAACCAGTTAAAGTGCAGGCCCAGAGATACCCATAACTTATATTACATGGATTATTCAAAAATAGGTGAAGTACACGTGTCAAACACAATACTTGGACATGGATTTGGATTATGTGTCAAAAATACTTATATTACAAGGATTCTTCAAAAATAGGTGAAGTACCCGTGTCGAACACAATACTTGGACACGCGTTTGGAATATGTATCAAACTCTTTTGGTTGAACATCCACCTCAAAAACATAAATAAATAAATAAAATAAAATAAAAATTCAATTTGTTATATTATTGCTTCAAAAAGAGTAAAATGTCTATATTGAACACTATGTAACATAAACACATTATTATTTTTTTCAATAAATAAAAAATATTAAATAGTATGAATATTTAGCAATGTCCCCATGTCCTTATGTTTTGGGAATTGACGCGTTAAAAGCTTGGATTCATACCTGCACGCTAAATATGTACCCAAGTTGAGGTACAATAGCCCAAGACAGCATTCTAAAAGTTTGTTAGACTATAACCCAAGCCTTTGACAGAGTTTCGCACAAGGTCCATAATCTAAATCTAGAAGGGGGTGAAGAGGTCTTGTTGGTTAGATTAGTTAATCTTAACTACCTTTTGAATTTTAATGAAATTAACATAAATTTTGATTTAAATTATGACTAGAAATTAAAATCCACTCAATCCATCATGCAATAAACAAATAAAGCAGTAAAAAATGGACACAAATATTTTTACCTGAAAAATCCAATAGGAAAAATTACCCGAGAACCTAGTCCAGGCAAACCGAATCTACTATGCAAAAGAAGTAATACAACAAAGGTTAATAGTTTTGCAAAGCCCTAGAAGCCCCTGGTTACCTCTTAACACAGATTGATCCACCAAACTTTCCTCAATCTCCAGACACACGATCCGCTCGTCAACAGACTTCGCTCTTCACGAATCTGCTTTTGATACTAGTGATTTAGACTCAGTCACTAGTCATCGGAATCAATCTATGTTCGATGGATTGATGTTGGTGTTGAACTCTTCAGATGAGCTCCACAACGAGACTAATAAAAAAATGAAATGAAAATAAATGCAACTAATACGAAGAGAACTTTTGAAGACATTGCTAGGGGTGTGTGGTGGGAGGTCCTATTGCATTGTTACTACCTATGAAATAAGAAACACTCAAAACTGCCCAATTTATTCATATTGTTAATACCAATTAAAAAATAATAATCACTAAGAAAGCCTCAAACAATGTAGAAAGCAGCAAAAACTCACATCCTCCCAAGTGGGAAAATCAGACTTGAGAGAAGCAAAAGCCCTTTGAGAGTTAGCGTCAGTGGTGTTCTGTGAGAGTATAATGCTTACTAGACCGTCCAACACACTTTCCATGGAACCAGAGGAACCACCAGCATCGTCATCAATTTCTTCATCCAACGGCTCTGATTTCTCGGAAGAAGAGCCAAATTGAGGAGTAGGGTTTGATCTCTGTTTGCGGTACTTGGCGAATTGTTCGGGGAAGCCGTGGAGGGCCAAGAGGTCGTCTCGAACGGATCGACATTCTTCTGGGGTGGGATGAGGATGAGATGGATATGGCTCGTCGGTAGTTTCGCCGGAGCCGTTGATCCGTGCGGATTTGCCCGGAGATTTGCTCGGCGGCAACGATTGGAGGTGAAGGTGAGACGGCTTTCTTTTACGGCTTTTCTGCATATTTGCCTTTTGGAATGTTTTTGGGTATCAGCTTATCTTCTTTTATCAAATAATAATAATAATAATAATAAAATAATTATTAATAAATAAATAAATCTATATATATTATACTACGTATTATACTCGTACAAAATATTTGAGATCATTTATTTATATAACTTATTATTAAATTAATAGATCATACTGAAATGTAATAAATAAAAAACTAATTAGATAAAGAAATATATTATATTAGAAAACTTTACTTTTATATATATAATTATTAATCAAATAATCAATAAAATAAGTTACTAATTAAAATAAATTCTATTATGCTCCCAATAACTAAAAACAAGTTATCAATTAAAATAAAATAGGTAATTATTTAATTAAAAATTAATCTTTACCTTACATAAATAAATAACCTTTATTTTTAAATAGGTAATTATTTTCATTTTACTAGTTAACCACCATATTAATAAATAAATAAATAATTATTTTTATCTATACATTAATTTGCTTTTTGCTCTTTCTGTTACCTTCTTTTTTCTCAATTCTAATTATTTTTGAATGCTGATTGACCTAATTGCACATATATTCGCACATCTCTTCCTTCCTTTTAACCTCTATTGTTCAAGTTAAAATTGTTTATCTATTGGTGCCAAATCTATTGTTGAATTAACCTAATTGCTGTTATTTCAAGGTTTATCCCTTTTAACCTATGTTATTGAAGCTAAAATTGTTTGTCTATTGATGTCTAATATGTTGTTGAATTGACCTAATTGCTGGTCTATTAGCATAGACTATTATAGATTTTTATTTTTTTATGATATATAATTCCATTATATTGTCCTTTTGTCACGACAAATCAAAGGGCCGAAGACTTTGACTTGAATGAAAAACACGTGCTGTGACGGCCCTAATGTTTAGGTAAGTGTGTCCTGTGATAAATCGAACGTAGATCCGATAACGAATTCAAAATGCGAAAGCAAGAAACAAAACAACAGTCTCCCAAGGCATAACACACTTCTAAAATACTTTGATAATCTTCCATGAGGTCATGGAACTCAATGAGAACTGACGCAAAAGTAAAAGATCAGAAAAATAACAATTAAGCCCCCAGAGGCAAAATAGTCATTTTATATGGAAATGACGTCTCTAAAATATATATCATTCCCAAAACACATCCATGACTTCCCATAAATTCACGGAACTCAAAAAAAGTAGCGGAAACGGAAAGTAAGAAAAATTGAGCAAAAATAGCCCCAAAGGGCAAAATATTCATTTCTAAAACTATGGATTCGGGTGCTACCGAGCACACCGCTGGAAAGACAACGAAAAACTAATCAAGATGGACTCAAGAATCGCACATGATAAAAAAAAAAAGAGCACTTAAGGCTAAAAGGGTAAACTGGTAATTATCCAGGAAGATCCGGGTACAACCGAGCACACCGTTGGAAAGATAGCAAAAAATTAGTCAAGTTCAAAGAAAATTTCACTCAATTTGGAGTCTGGATGAAGGAGAACGAGCGAAAACAAAAGTCGACGTCACGACGTTGAGATAAGCACCCCGACAAGCACTGTGACATGCTAGGGGAAGAAAAGTTCCAGCCAGAACTGAGAGCCGAAGCGAGGTTTGAAACGACTTTTTCTGGAAAAACACGAAGAAGAAACCCCCCCTAAAATCGAGTTTTCTACCCGATCACGAGATAACAAACGAAAAAAAACTCACTGTGAAACACTTAAAATGCCCCTAGATCAGAAGAGGTCAAGAGGGTCAAAAAGCTGCTACAGGATCTGTCCGCAACTGAGAGTAAAAACGGGCCATCAAACGAATTTTTCTGGAAAAACACGAAAAAGAAACACCCCCCCCCCCCCAATCAAGCTTTCTACCCGAAAATGCGGACAGAAACAAAGAAAATTCATTATAAAATGCCCAGAATACCCTCAAGAAAATCAAGTCAAGAAGTTTTAAAACTTTCCGAGCTGTTACCAAAGGAAAGGAAATGAGGCTTTGGGAGGTTTTTAAATTGCCTAAATTGAAAATGCAATCTTAAAATACACCTACAAGACCTCTGGAAGTTTCGGATCGGTCGACACATTTTTCAAAAAAAAAATCGATGAATAGTACCAAGTACTAAAATCTCAAGTTTAAAAAAAACATATTTGTAAACTTTAGAATTAATGGCCCTTGGCCTCATGTCATACATACAAAATAAGCATCCAAAAAGTGTACTTAGGTACACGTTACATATTTGGAATCAAGGATACAAGTTTTGACATATAAGACTACAAAATGACATTTTATGCTAACATTTGCATGAAATGAAAACTTAAAAGTTACGAGTCATCCAAAGAATGATGAGCATCACGAACCAAGTTTTCATACCTGAAAAATATCCCCAGTAACTTTAGGGTGAGTAACATAAAGCTACTCGTAAGAAATGAGCATGCATCGACCTAGCATTTTACAATTCTATCACCTTAAGGTGAAACATGTTAAAGGGGCTCATGCCACCTAACGTCTATGTCAAGTGAGACTCGGAGATCATCCTAAGCTACTCATGCAATCAAAATGAACTACGACATACAAGTACACATGCTCAAGTACACTAAACCGTATTAAAACATGATACACGACATACAAGCATATATGTTAAAGTACCTTAAATCATGTTAAACAAGATAAGCAATATCTAACACACATACACAAGTATTCGACATATATAGAGTACTCGTAAATCAAGTATACAAACACAACTATACTAAGCTAAACAAAATACATATAAGACAAGTATACACGGCACAAGTATATTAAATGAAATTTAAACTCACGGAGCAAGTATACAAGTTCAAGTATACTAAATAGGATTCAAATATCCAAAACAAACATCAATTCTCAAGCTACAAATAATCCATGATTAACAACTTGAATTTAAATGCGAAATCAAATAGTGGAAAGATTAGGACATGCGGTCACTAGACCAAGCAAGTATTTTCAGGTAATTACGACCCACAAGGTACCACCTAGTGCACACTTATGACTTAGAAGACACTTGTCCACGTACTAGAGCCAAACCCTAACCATCGCATAAATTATGTCATCACAAGCTTTCCAAAATCAATAAGTTCAAAACCTATACAAAATCAAATGCAAGTTACCACATTCCATGCACAAGTAAGGTTGAATCCATACAAATCATGTCCTAGAATTCAAGTCTATATAGCATATGACATGTCATGTCCTCAACATGCAATTTATACCCAAAGTAAGAATATATTACAACAATTGAACCAAATTACCATCCTAAGCCACAAGTACTAAATAAGTTACAATTTAGTAATTAGCTTTCAAAGTAAACAATTGTAATATTCTAACAAGTTATATACCTATACAAGATATATATAAACAAGTCATGCAAGACAATGATATCATATATCATGCTAAGTACAATTTCTTAATTTAAACATAGAAACAATTTCAAAGACATAGTTAAATCCATGGAACAGGTAGATAGAATTTAATTAACAAAAATAATTAAATTCTCGATTTCAAATCAATCCCAAATAATCTCAAATTAATATATGTTAAGGGACATAGCATAGTCTTCACATATATCACATCAAATATTGAATCAAGGGATTAAAACACTTAAAATAAAATTAATTAAACTCATTAATTAATTTTCTCTAGATTTCCAAATAACTCCAAATGTCCTCAATTTTACCTAGGTTGAAGAACATACCAAGGCCTATTTTAATATCACATTACAAGTTGATTTCATGCTTGTTACAACTATGTGAATTAATCTTCCACAAAAGATAAATATTAAATAAAATTTGCATTTCTTATTCAAATGCTCTCAATTTAATATATGTTGATATACATACCAATACCTAATTTACTAGCATACCACAATTTAATTCTAAGGTACACACCTTCATGAGAATTAAATCTTAAATATAGAAAATAATTAAATTAAATTCTAAAACTTGAACAAAGGCATACTTACAAGTTGTATATGTTTATATAACAATCAATACAACATTAATATAAACCTAAGACATCCCCTACCTCAATTTCATATGAAAATCTCAAAAGCCACTAAAATGAAACGGTTTCGAATCCGACAATACTTCGGGGTTTTGTCGGGGACAACGCCGTGAACATTAAACTCTAAGGAGGACCTACCAAAATCTTAACTTGACCTCAAACTCGAACTCAAAAAATGGCCAAAAACGGGTTCTAATAAGGGGGAAAGATGCGCGCAGTCAAGACAAACACAAAATGCAAAGTTACCACAACTTTTTAACAAGGGGAGGAAGTTTTAATTGAAAGAAGAAGGGTGGCAGCCCCCTTGGGCTGCCATAGTAGCTACTGGTCGTGCATGAAGAGAGGAGAAAGTCAAATGAAATGTTTCACCCCTCTTTTATAGGAAAACTCTAAAAGTGCCCCGAAAGGGCCGCACCGGGTCCAGAAAAGTGAAATTTGAGCAAACGTGCTCAAATGACAAAACTCTGTGAATAAAAAAGAATCAAAATGAGAAAATATGAACAGTGGAAGAAACGGTGTCAAAAATCCTGAAACTGGAGGAAAACGATAAGAAGACAATTCTAAGAGTACACGACTCGACAAAAAGTGAAAATGAATCCCGTACGAGGATCCAGGCTCAAAACGATGCATTTTTGCAATAACTTTCATTAATTGCACAATGACCCCTCTAAAAAGTCAAAACTACACTAATGACCCAGAATGAAAATATCTTCAAAAAATATTTTCTTAAAAACCTCTGAAATAAAATATCTCCAAAATATATTTACGAAAAACACCCCAAGAAACAAAAATGTTTCTGAAGAACTTTGCATCCATGCCCCTATGGACACCGAGAGCAACCAGAGTACTTTCCTACAAAAGTAAAGATACGTATTTCATGAAAACCACTTAAAATGAAGATACATGAAGTTAAAAACTAACTCCAAACACAAAAAATGAGGTTATGCCAACAAAGTGGCAAACGGGTTAAAGACAAAATAGGG